ATCATCACATATTAAAGACAGCGTAGAAGAAGTAATAACACCAGGAGGCAGCTCTGATGAAAACTCACACTCACACGAGCTTTTAAATCTCTGCACAAAATTCAATTTAAACCAGCAAATAATAGAGCCTACTAGACTGGAGAATACACTAGACCTCATCTTCACTAACAATGATGATCTGATAAGAAATGTCACCATATCAAAAACAATATACTCAGATCACAACATAATTGAGGTTCAGACATGTATGCGTGGAGCCCCAGACCGACAAAATGAGACTAGTCACGAGGGAGCATTCACCAAATTCAACTTCAATAACAAAAACATAAAGTGGGACCAAGTAAACCAAGTCCTAACCGATATAAGCTGGGAAGATATACTAAGCAACACAGACCCAAACTTATGCCTAGAACAGATTAACTCGGTGGCACTCGATGTATGCACAAGGCTTATTCCTCTAAGAAAAGGGAGGAGTAGATGTAAAATAGAAAGAGACAGGCGCTCCCTTTACAGGCGACGGAAAAGAATAACAGAGCGGCTAAAAGAGGTCAATATATCTGAAATGCGCAGGGAGACACTGGTCAGAGAAATAGCAAGCATCGAACTTAAGCTAAAAGAATCCTTTAGGAGTCAGGAATCGCGGGAAGAACTAAAAGCCATAAATGAAATCGAAAGAAACCCAAAGTATTTCTTCTCCTATGCCAAATCAAAATCGAGAACAAACGTCCAGTATTGGGCCCCTACTTAAACAAGATGGGTCCTACACAGATGACAGCAAGGAAATGAGTGAGCTACTCAAGTCCCAATATGACTCAGTTTTTAGCAAGCCGCTAACCAGACTGAGAGTCGAAGATCAAAATGAATTTTTTATGAGAGAGCCACAAAATTTGATTAACACAAGCCTATCCGATGTTATCCTGACGCCAAATGACTTCGAAACAGGCGATAAATGACATGCCCATGCACTCTGCCCCAGGGCCAGACTCATGGAACTCTGTGTTCATCAGAACTGCAAGAAGCCCCTATCACGAGCCTTTTCCATCCTATGGAGAGGGAGCATGGACACGGGGGTCGTCCCTCAGTTACTAAAAACAACAGACATAGCCCCACTCCACAAAGGGGGCAGTAAAGCAACAGCAAAGAACTACAGACCAATAGCACTAACATCCCATATCATAAAAATCTTTGAAAGGGTCCTAAGAAGCAAGATCACCACCCCTCTAGAAACCCATCAGTTACACAACCCAGGGCAACATGGATTTAGAACAGGTCGCTCCTGTCTGTCTCAACTACTGGATCACTACGACAAGGTCCTAAATGCACTAGAAGACAAAAAGAATGCAGATGTAATATATACAGACTTTGCAAAAGCCTTCGACAAGTGTGACCATGGCGTAATAGCGCACAAAATGCGCGCTAAAGGAATAACAGGAAAAGTCGGTCGATGGATCTATAATTTCCTCACTAACAGAACACAGAGAGTAGTCGTCAACAGAGTAAAGTCCGAGGCAGCTACGGTGAAAAGCTCTGTTCCACAAGGCACAGTACTAGCTCCCATCTTGTTCCTCATCCTCATATCCGACATAGACAAGGATGTCAGCCACAGCATCGTGTCTTCCTTTGCAGATGACACCCGAATCTGCATGACAGTGTCTTCCATTGCAGACACTGCAAGGCTCCAGGCGGACATCAACCAAATCTTTCAGTGGGCTGCAGAAAACAATATGAAGTTCAACGATGAGAAATTTCAATTACTCAGATATGGTAAACATGAGGAAATTAAATCTTCATCAGAGTACAAAACAAATTCTGGCCACAAAATAGAGCGAAACACCAACGTCAAAGACCTGGGAGTGATTATGTCGGAGGATCTCACCTTCAAGGACCATAACATTGTATCAATCGCATCTGCTAGAAAAATGACAGGATGGATAATGAGAACCTTCAAAACTAGGGAGGCCAAGCCCATGATGACACTCTTCAGGTCACTTGTTCTATCTAGGTGGAATATTGCTGCACTCTAACAGCACCTTTCAAGGCAGGTGAAATTGCCGACCTAGAAAATGTACAGAGAACTTTCACAGCGCGCATAACGGAGATAAAACACCTCAATTACTGGGAGCGCTTTTAGGTTTCTAAACCTGTATTCCTGGAACGCAGGAGGGAGAGATACATGATTATATACAACCTGGAAAATCCTAGAGGGACTAGTACCGAACTTGCACACGAAAATCACTCACTACGAAAGCAAAAGACTTGGCAGACGATGCACCATCCCCCCAATGAAAAGCAGGGGTGTCACTAGCACGTTAAGAGACCATACAATAAGTGTCAGGGGCCCGAGACTGTTCAACTGCCTCCCAGCACACATAAGGGGGATTACCAACAGACCCCTGGCAGTCTTCAAGCTGGCACTGGACAAGCACCTAAAGTCAGTTCCTGATCAGCCGGGCTGTGGCTCGTACGTTGGTTTGCGTGCAGCCAGCAGCAACAGCCTGGTTGATCAGGCGCTGATCCACCAGGAGGCCTGGTCACAGACCGGGCCGCGGGGGCGTTGACCCCCGAAACTCTCTCCAGGTAAACTCCAGGTACTGAAGAATATTGAATTGTTTATAAACGAGTATATATAATAACTAAGATTTTAAAATGCACGACATGCTAGTGGCTTTCTTTTGTGCCTAACAGTTTTTACGTGTAAACTACATTATCAGTATACTGCAGGAAATAAATCGTAATAAAGTTGATAGAATTACCGACAATATGTAAAGTAAAAGGACACAAGTGCAACTAATGTGACATTTATTGTGGCAACGTTTCGCTCTCCAGGAGCTTTATCAAGCCATTAGCTTGATCAAGCTAATGGCTTGATAAAGCTAATGGCTTGATAAAGCTAATGGCTTGATAAAGCTCCTGGAGAGCGAAACGTTGCCACAATAAAATGCCACATTAGTTGCACTTGTGTCCTTTTACTTTACAGGAAATAAATCAATTTGTTATTATTATTGTAGTTTTTGTGTTTTTCCTAATGCAGTTATGTTGTTTGTAGTGTCTTAATTGTTTTTTGTGTTTTTTGAAGCGTTTTGCATTGGTTTTACTTTACATATGTATGGACTGATGAAGCCACTGTGTGGCGAAACGTTTCCTCAATAAAGATACCCAAGAGTTGCACATGTGTCTAATTTAACAACACAAATTCCAGGACATAACTTGAAGACAGGAGAACTATGTACAGAAGATGAGGTAATCAGTCCCTCAACCTAGCAGTAAGTGCAAAGAGCACCGTAGTCGTGGAGATTCTCCACGACTACCGAATTTGTATTGACAAAGTTGATCCCGTGTATCAGAAACCTTCCCTATGAGGATAGACTAAGGGCCCTATATATGCACTCTCTAGAAAGACGTAGAATTAGGGGGGGATATGATTAAGTTGTATAAATGGAAGACAGGAATAAATAAAGGGGATGTAAATAGTGTGCTGAAAATATCTAGCCTAGACAGGACTTGCAGCAATGGTTTTAAGTTGGAAAAATTCAGGTTCAGGAAGGATATAGGAAAGTACTGGTTTGGTAATAGAGTTGTGGATGATTGGGACAAACTCCCAAGTACAGTTATAGAGGTCAGAACGTTGTTTAGCTTTAAAAATAGGTTGGATAAATACATGAGTGGATGTGGGTGGGTGTGAGTTGGACCTGATAGTTTGTGCTACCAGGTCGGTTGCCGTGTTCCTACCTTAAGCCAATGTGGCCTGACCTGACTAGGTTGGGTGCATTGGCTTAAGCCGGTAGGAGACTTGGACCTGCCTCGCATGGGCCAGTAGGCCTGCTGCAGTGTTCCTTCGTTCTTATGTTCTTATGTTCTTATGTTTTTGTAGCGTTTTTCATCATCATCATCATTATTATTATTATTATTATTATTATTATTATTATTATTATTATTATTATTATTATTATTAGTTTAATATGTTTATTATCCACCCCAGACCCATCCTGTGGGTGGTAGTCAAAAGATTACAAAGGTACATAATGGGTCCAGTGACAAGGACCCAGAGTTATGATAACTGAACAAGTTACAAAGGTAATGATCTCCAGGTAGATCTGGTCACAATCATGAACAAGTTACAAAGGTACTGAACTCCAGGTAGATCTGGTCACAATCTTTACAAAGTTACAAAGGTAATGATCTCCAGGTAGATCTGGTCACAATCTTTACAAAGTTACAAAGGTAATGAACCATCTATACATGGTTACAATCACGAACAAATAACAAAATAATGATCTATTCACACGTCCGCACTCGGTCACAACTATAATGAATTATCAGTGCAAATATTAATATTAATTAGTGCAAATAGCAATTATCAAGGAAATAAGTCACTCAGTCAGACTTTTCTGGGTTATCCCAGGTTTTCTGCACATATATGCTGCTATGTATAATAACTCTGTATAACTGTATTTGTGTATACCTGACTTACTTACTTATACTTACTTACTTACTTACTTACTAGTTAGTTTAATATGTTTATTATGCACCCCATACCCATCCTGTGGGCGGTAGTCAAAAGATTACAGAGGTACATAATGGGTCCAGGGACTGGGCCTCAAAGTTTTGATAGCTGAGCAAGTTACAGAGGTAATGAATTCACAATTTACAAAGGTAATGAACTCACAATTTACAAAGGTAATGAACTCCAGGTAGGTCTAGTCACAATCATGACAAGTTACAAAGGTATTTACAGATTACAGAGGTACACAATGGGTCCAGGGACCGGGCTCCAAAGTTTTGATAGCTGAACTAGGTACAAAGGTAATGAACTCACAAGTTACAAAGGTAATGAATACTGTAAGAATGGTTACTTACGTGTATACATGGCTGCAATCATGAACAAATTTTAGAGTAATGAGCAATTCACACTTCCACACCCGGTCACTTACTTACTTACTAGTAATATTAAAAGTATGAGAGATAGCGTTCTTTGACGTCATAATGACGTCATGCAATAATCCAGGATTGCTGGAGTCGGATTCATGATAGAAGAACGTTAGTAGTGCTGCTGGTGGTGTTGCGGCGGCGTCGTTACTGTGTCCTCCATCACCTCGCTCATAATACCTGCTCTCTACTGTAAGTTACCCTGTGTGTGATGGTGTGTTGCGTGGTAGTGTTGAGTGGTGGGTAGTGGTAGTGGTGGGGCATGGGCAGTGCCCCAGTAAGGCTCCTGACACGCGTAATATGCCGGTAAATAAGTCGTCTGGGTCATCTTGTTTTTCACACGCTGACTCCAGGCGCCAAAAGGGAAATTCTGGTGTAGTCTCGCATCCATGATATATTTGGTGATTATCACTTGCCGGGAGCCTCTGTGGGTTTCTTATTATTGTTTTATTGCTTCATAAGACTGCTGCTACTATAATAAGTACGCTAGAGTGAGATAAAGTTAACAGTTTTATATTAGGATAATGGTGGCCATAAAGTGAGGTGTTGCCACGTTCTAACACTTTAATATTTTATTTTCTTGTATATTTTATGTGTACGTTGTGATAAATATTGCTAGCACATAACTTATTGATCCTTGTGATTACCTCGAAAATATTAATATTTTTTTTTATTACTTATAGTATCGTGAAGCTTTAAATAATAAGATATTACAAGGATCTTAATGGAAATAAATAGTTTTTACTTTTTCTTTGGATTATCTTGGTAATTTACACATGTTAATTGTCCTTATGTAGTTAAACATACAGGGGAAACACCAGAAGCTAGCGAGGAAATTTTTGTGGTGCTCTCTTATTTGTGGTTGCAGGGGGTCGAGTCACAGCTCCTGGCCCTTCCAGGAGTAATGTTATATGTGGTTTAAAAGCATCATATACTTACAACCACAATATTTTGCTTTCTTGATGCCTGTGATATGATTGAAATGATTTGCATAATTAGTGGCTTTGTGTCTACTGTTGTAATGACAGATTTATTTACATTATTTGTATGACTCGCAGAAATAAACATTATTATTGTTATTTTTATTAGTTTGTTTAGGCATAGGTACATTAACAAATTTTATTTGTGTAGTATACGAAGTATAGTTATGAAATATTAAACTCAAAGAAAGTCGCTAACATGCATGTGCGTTTCAGACTGATCCCAGTGCTTACACACTACTTAGGACTAGACATATATATATTAAATATATTACAGCTAGTACAGTTATCATATGTATTATCTAGGATAACCCCTTGTTGCCCAGCTTCTCTGGGAAGGTTTACTTAACATATCATTGGTAATTCTACTGGTATTAATACTATATTAAACTGCACCTGCCACTTCTCCGACCACTGCATCAGTCTGTTCAAATCATCCTGATCCTGGAGTGCTCTAATGTCCTCATTAGAATGAATTGGATGGCCTGTTTTGTGGTGTCGTCAGCAAATTTGCTTATGTCACTATATGCTGATAATACCAAATTAGGCCTTCCAATTCATTCTAATGAGGACAGAGCACTCCAGGAATATTTGAATAGATTGGTGCAGTGGTCAGAGAAGTGGCAGATGCAGTTTAATTAATATAGACAAATGCAATGTCAGTAGTCAGGCCCTGAAACAAGGCTCAAGTGTGTGTCTGTTACTCCTTAAAAACTCTAATTTTTATATTGGAAAAAGTAATAAAGAACAAAAAGGCACAACACCGTGATTGGAACAATACACAAATGACGATGACATTTCAGTCTGACTTGGACCATTAACCAGTCAGTGCCTAGTTGACCAGGTAATCTCTAAAGCTTGGTGCAGGGCAGGGTTCCGAGAATAGAAAAACTCAAAGCTCGTCGAATGTATAATCATAATGTACATACAGTATATGGCTCGTGTTCATGGTACTGTGCAAGACAGTTTTTCTCTTCCACATTTTCTGAATTAACTGTACACATGTAAATGTTAGTAGATTTACAAGGCAGGGGAGATGACTCAGTTGGAAACTGTATTTCTGAGACAGGAAAATTGATTAATCTAGAAAACCCACGGTCCCCATAATTTCTAATTGATATTTGCTGGTATATTTACTCGTGCTTCACAGTAGTGTTGTGCCATAATACTGTATACACATGTTTAAGTAAAATTTTTTTATATCATTTGCATAAATATCATTTGCATAAATAAAACCTTCCTTTTGCAGGCAGTTCAAAATGGGGAGAGAGAGAGAACGTGAACGGGAGAGAGATCGGGAAAGGTACCACCGGCATAGGTAAGTTTTCTTCAGGTACTTTATATTTTTAAAATCAAGAAAGGAATTAATAGATAGGTAGGTGGAAGATGAAAGCAATATTTTGAGCTGAAGGGTGTTCAGGGGAACAACACTCCCAGGGCTTGGTCCATGACCAGGTCTCTCTGTGGATCAGGGCCTGATCATCCATGCTGTTACTGCTGGCCACATGCAAACCGACGTATGAACCACATCCCAGCTGGTCAGGTACTGACTAAGTGCCTGTCCAGCTTCTCCTTGAGGACAGCCAGGGGTCTCTTGGTAATCCCCCTTATGTATGCTGAGAGGCAGTTGAAAAGTCTTGGGGCCCCCGATGCTTATCGTGTTCTCTTAGTGTACTCGTGCGGCCCCTACTTTTCAATGAGGGGATATTGCATCGCCTGCTCTATTGTGTGGTTGGAATTTGTTTTATATTCTAATCCAGTTTTTATTTCCTTGTTTTCCGTAGTGTGGTAATTGAAATTTGTCCTTATTGAACTTAATACTGTTTTCTGAGGCCTATTTAAAGACTTGATTAATGTCTGCTTGGAGATTTGCAGTGTCCTTAATGGATGACTGCCATGCAAATTCTGATATCAGCAAAGGAGGACATAGTGCTGTGGCTTACATCTGTCAGATATGAGGATGAGGAAAAGGATTGGAGTGAGTACTGTACCTTGTAGAACAGCTTTTCACTGTAGCTGCCATAAGAATCAGTCAGTTAATTGGTATTTATTTCCACCTGATACATCATTTATACAAAGTTGGATAGCATTATATCAGTTGTATGGAAAGCCCATTAGTTATGCGGAGCATTTCAGGTAAGGTAAAACCTAACTTATTACTAGGAGGACTATAATACTGTACAGTGGAACCTCAGTACTCAGCCAGCTTCAATCTTGAACAAAGCTCGACACTTGACCAAACAAACACGACCTGCCAGAACATTGCTGTAAACTATTTAGTTTTTCTTCGCATTTTTGGGTGTTTTTTCTTATATTTGTATAAATTAGTCACTGTGGAGCCTATGAAGATTAGTGATAACAGCCAACCAAAAAGAAAATTGGTTTGGAAGAATTGGTTTGATACTCATATTGATCAGCACTCAAACAGCCTTCTGGAATGAATTAAGTTTGAGTACTGAGGTTCCACTGTATTTTAGGTACTGTACATGTTTATAAAACATAAATGATATCCAATTTAAAATAGATCATGTGCATAGAAGCATTTAAAGTCAGTGCAAGGTACATGGTAATAAGAACACTTAGGTTATACTATATTAAAATTATTCTGGGTTAAAAAATACTTAATACATACACTGTTAATTAAGTAGTTTTTTGTGCCTAAAGCACTGAAAACACTGTGTACATAGTCTTACGATATTTTAAATGATTCAGTGTGTGATAGCTTTCACAACATGGAAATAAGTCACATTGTTTTGCTTTACTGGTTATTTTGGGTTTAAAATATGCATCACTGTAATGGATTTTCGTAAAATAAAATTCTATACTATGTACAAAAGCCTAAACCTAAACCTAAACTTGCATAAATGCAAAGTGGCATATCACACACCTTGTTTATGTATCTTATTGAGTCACTGATATTTAGTATGCACTTCATTGACCAGCCTGACCCTTCATTAGTGTTTTCCTTGGTGTAACAAGGTGGCAGGTCACAAACATTTGAGCCGAGGCAGAAATAGTGACTTTCAGCAAATTTGGGGCCCAAAACAATTTCACATTTATATATGTCATACACAGTTTATCCCTTTCAGAGTCCAGACCCCTGATCTGAAACTTGTTTTTTGTCAAAAGAATTTCAGCCTCCTCCCCTTTTTATTAAGAAATGTTTGAAAATCTTTTTTCGAATGTAATGATACCAAAAGTATGAAATTTGATGGAAAACTTGTGGAATTACACTAGCGCAAAGTTAGAGGTCTTGGCGCAATTTACTCGCTGGCAGTTTCGCTGACTTTGAGTCCTACTGTAGGCCAATTCCATTCTTCTAGTTGACCAAATTCTTAGCTTTTTTGCTACTTTGCCTTGAACATCGAAATGGTATGAAATACCGACAAGTTGTTAGGTAAGACACATATGCAACAGTTAGGTATCTTTATTTCGAAACATTTCGCCTACACAGTAGGCTTCTTCAGTCGAGTACAGAAAGTAGGCAGGAGCAGTAGAGATTTGAAGACGATGTAATCAGTCCATCACCCTTGAAATCGTAGATTTGAGGTTGTCAGTCCCTCAGCCTGGAGAAGTTCTGTTCCAAAGTTTGGAACTAACTGAAGATCAAACGACAAGTGTTGAGACTTAACCCTTTCAGGATCCGTCCCGTAGATCTACGGCTTTTCGGTGAGTGTCCAAACCGTAGATCTACGCCAAAATTCTAACGCCGTCAAATTTAGCGCGAAAGCGCTCATAGGCCTACATGTGAGAGAATGGGTCTGCGCCGTGGGTGTGCGCCGTAAACAAAAAATCTAGGCGCCTCCATAGCATTGTGGGAATGCCGGCTCAGTCACCCTTGTTCACCATGCCTCGTCGCAAGTCAGCTCTCAATCCCCGGAAAATTGGGACTCTCCTCTTCCTGTCTGATAGTTCTGACACTGATGGAAGTGGAAATGAAGACGAATTCTACGGCTTTGATAAGTTAGTGACCGAAAATAATGACCAGGATATCGATAATAGTGCAGAAAACCCCGACGATCCTCGACCTTCTACCTCTGGTGTGGGCACTCGTGACTCATGGTCGGGTGTTCCTAAACGTAAGAGAAAACTAATATTTTCCCGTGGCCAGGCCTCTGACTTCAGTAATGATGATGATTCTGACGTGGATTGTGATTTTATTGCGCTCGACGATCATTCGAGTAGTGATAGTGAGGAAACATATTCACCAGTGAAGCGTCGGTATGTTCGCCGCCGCATGCGCTCGGGTAGTGTACCCTATGCTGTGCCCAGGGGACGGAGTACATCCCGGAGTACATCCCGGAGTACATCCCGTGGCCCTACACCCGTTTTAGGTAGTGATAGTGAGGATGATATTTATTTATTTATTTTATTTATAATTTGAGCACACTTACAGAGGTACAAAAAAAAATACAGATAAGAGCAGCATGCCAAAGCCACTTATACTATGCATAGCATTACGGGTTGGCTTAAAATTAACTTAAGATTAACTAAGCAATGATGAAATCAGTGAAAAACATTAATGTAAACTGATTACTATAAAGCACAAGTGAGTATTACAAAGACAGGTCATATGGTTGCATGCATTGTTGTAAATTCAGTAGAATGGAGTATTCTGTTAGGTAGTGTATTTAAAAAATAATAAAGTTAGATTGGGTTTTAGGTTTAACATTTATGTGATATAATTGTGAGAAACATTTAAGATATACAATTTATAAGGTTCAGTTATTCAGTAATTTATTTGGTTTTGGTGAGTAAGTGATCTTTGAGAAGAGACTTGAATTTATAAACAGGTAGTGTTTCTTTTATATTTACAGGTAATGAATTCCAGATTTTAGGGCCTTTTATGTGCATTGAGTTTTTGCATAGCGTGAGATGGACCCTAGGAATATCAAAGAGTGATCTGTGCCTTGTGTTATGGTCATGTGTTCTGTTGAGGTTGGCAAGGAGATGTTTGAGGGGAGGGTTAATATCAGAGTTGAGTGTTCTATGTATGTAATAGGTGCAGTAATAAGTATGGATGTTTTGTATGGTGAGTAGGTTGAGTGTATTGAATATTGGTGGAGTGTGCTGCCTGTAGTGAGAATTTGTTATCATTCTAACTGCAGCTACACTTTGCATGGATGGGCCACAGGCATCAGTGGATGGTGTTAGTGGGGCTGGTGGTGGTAGTGGCACAGCCATGCGTGACTCACTGTGCCACGCGGGGACCCACGCTGCTGACTCATCAGTTCAAGGACAAAGCGGAGCGTCACCCACCAGCCCGCCACAACCACCCGTACAACCAGCCTATGATGTCCAGTATCCACCAGCAAACCGTATCTGGGATTGGCAGCAAAATCCCAATTTTGTTCCCAGCCCTCACCACTTTGATGACTCTCAAAGTGGAATTCTACCTACCTGTCCCCTTGGAACCACGGCCAATGAACTGGAATTCTTTGAATTATTCTTTGACCAGCCATTGATGGAAATTATTGTCAGGGAAAGTAATAAGTATTTTCAGTACACCATGGCAAATACGATCTTATCACCACAGTCAAGACTACACAGGTGGAAAGAGACGACTGTTGCAGAAATGTATTTGCTTTTTGCAACAATAATGCTTATGCCTCACATCTATAAGCATAATATAAAAGCATACTGGTCCACAGATCAGCTAATTTGTACCCCATCCTTCAGTGAAATGATACCAGTGAACAGGTTTATCTTACTGTTACGTATGTTGCACTTCTCTGACAAAACCAGGCCTGACAGAAGTGACAGGTTATACAAGATTAGAAATGTTTTCATGTATCTCAAACAAAAGTTCAGGATATACTTTTATCCATTCAAGAATCTTGTAATTGACGAGTCTTTGATTTTGTTCAAAGGTAGACTGTCATTCAAGCAGTATATACTGTGATTGTGACAGTGGCCTGGTGTTGGATATTGTTGTATACACGGGTAGTAAAACATTGAAAGATACCAAGATGTTATTGGGTATATCAGGTGACGTAGTGAGAAACATGATGGCACCTTATCTTGGTAAGGGCCATACATTATATACCGATAACTGGTACACAAGCCCATTACTCAGTGATTTCATGCGAGTGAACAAGACAGATGTGTGTGGCACAGTGCGTTCTAATCGTAAACATATGCCCAGGCTCAATGCAGGTGTTCGTGGTGATGACGTGCAGGTGTTTACTGCCAATGACATCGTGGCATTACGGTGGCATGACAAACGTGATGTCACATTGTTGACAACCATTCACCGTAATGAAATGCAAGACAGTGGCAAAGTTGATCGAGTGACTAATGAACGTATTCGAAAACCAG